TTTTCATGTATCATTTTGATCTTGATTTTGGATAGAATCTTTGCGAATATTCGACTGCGATGGCGAAGCCATATAATAAGAAAGTTTAATTTAAGAACCTTTTATGGCAAGCCGGTTTTACATTAGTACCAGAATTGGTATTATTCTCGAAATTCACTTTTTGTGTCCGAATCAATTTTTAGATTATACCCCCTAAATATCATCACGTTGTACACGTTTAAAAAAATAATGAAGAATCCGTGTGTTTTGTACGTATGCAATTACGCAATGTGGAAAAAATACGGAATTTGAATACACATATTCCGGCTCTCGAACATGGATATTTCGGAGCCCACATTTTTAATTTTGATTTTGATTTAGTTCGCATTTCATTCCAACTTAACAAATTCTTGTTTATCAAACTCGGCGATTTGAAAGCTAGAAGTAGCAACATTACTCGAAAAAAAAAAAAAAAAAAAAAAAACACTTTTATCTCCGGCATGCCAGACTGTTGCCATTCGATTAAAATTAAAAGAAATAAACACAGTTCTTAAAAGTATTTTTAATCCAAAGGGGCTTTGTCCCTGAAGGACTATTGTTTTCGTTTCGCGATTTTGCGTCAGGACACTATAAACGGCGTATCACTTTTTTTATCGTTGCCACCAAATACTATCGCCCTGTATTATATTTGAAGAAATTAAATAATGAAGAATCTGAGTAAATTTCTAGCATTGAGATAAAACAACGGCACCTAGAGCCATCCAATTTTGAATGACGTAACACTAGGGCATCTGAAAGCCCAAACTGAAATTTCGAATTTGGTTTATTATCGATTTCATATTTTGTAAAACTTTAACGAATTTTTTATTAACAAACTCAACGATTTAAAAGAGAGCAATGCAACACTCTACGGGGGGGGGGAGCGTTTATCTCCAGCGCGCGGAACTGTGTATCAGAAATTCTAAAGATACGCTCATTTTCAAATTATTTTGCGAGATTGCTGTTGAACTGAATTTTATGGTTTAAGTGCAAAGAACAGGATATTTATTAAATAAAGGTAACACACAAAACTTTAAAAAAACATCTTTTTGGACGTAATTGAAAATCTAAACTCTTTCAGATTTTCTTTTTTTTTTTTTTTTTTTTTTCTTTTTCTTTTTAATTGATTTTCTACTTTTTCCCGATCAATTGAAATAAAATTGCATTTAAATCACCAGATCTCCAATAAAAATAATAAATATTTTTATGGAATGGCACTAAGTGGACTCATTAAAACCAGTATATGCAAAAGTAGTATATACAAAAGAGTTTCATATAGTATATATATGAAATTCTTTTAGGCGCTTTTAAGAAAGGAATACGGGAAAAATAATATAGCGAAGAAGAAAGAATGTAGAAATAATATGGACAACATAAAAAAATGCATGACAACTCCTAACACTTTATCGTATATTCTAAAGATGTGCTCTTTTTAAATAGTCTGCAGGTTTTGTCGTGGATTTTATTGGCGTAAGTGTGAAGAAAGCAATGTAAAGACAATATTCGACTAAATTAAAGCAATGTAAAGACACTAAAAAGAGAACAAAAAATTGTTAGCAGAAGCTTGTCTAAGAGCTGATTGGTAACCGTGAGCGTAAAAAAAGTGTAACCAATCTTTTGGTGCGAGGCTGAAACACCAAAAATCGAACCGTTTTCCTCGAAATGTATCACAAAGTTCGAAACTCCTCACGTTTTTCGTTGAGTTTTTAATCAAAATTGCGTAAAATTAACACAAAATGCATTGGCGGAAAAAGTGCAGAACCTGTGCGATTGATTTTTGGAAAATCTTTACACAGTCTCACGCGCTGAACATATTTTTTTTTTTTCACAACGTTGCCATTGTTCGCTTTGAAACCCTTGAGTCTGTTAATAAGAAATTCGTTAAAGTTTTACTAAATACGAAATCGATAATAAAATAAATTCCAAATTTGGGCTTCCAGATGCCATTATTCGCAGGAGGATGACGTTATTCAAAATTTAATGGCTCTAGTAATTTTAATTGCTCGCCGTTTTATCACAATGCGAAAAGCATACATTGATGCAGATCTTCATTATTTAATTGCTTTAAATATAATACAGGGCGATAATATTTAGTGGCCGCAATTTGAAATGTGATTCGCCGTTTATAGTTTTCAATGCAAGATGCAAAACGAAATTAATAGCCCTTCTCGGCAAATTGCCCCTTTGAACTAAAAACAAATTCCAAATTTGGGCTTCCAGATGCCCATATTCGCAGGAGGATTACGCTATTCAAAATTGCATGGCTCTAGGCACAGTTGTTTTAACACAATGCGAGAAACATATATTTATACAGTTTTGCAGATTCTTCATTATTTAATTTTTTTTAATATAATACAGGGCTCTAACATTTGGTGGCAACAATTGAAAAGTGAAACAATGTTTGTAGGGAATCAACACAAATTGCCAAAAGGAAATTAATATTCCTTCTGGGCAAATTGCCCCTTTGAACTAATAAGCAAAGAACATAAAACGCAATAGCGCAACTTAACAATGTTGTTTAATTATAACACTACTCACACTATTAACAAGTATAAACAATCTAATCCTGAATGAAGCATACAGTTAAAATTACAATCATATGAAGCACTGTCAAACAGACAAACTAAATGTCGAACACACGTCAAAGGGGAACGGTATTACCAAACTAACATTGCCATTAGCTCAACAGAAATGTTACGTTAAGGCTCTTGGAAAAGTCATCATTTCAGGATTAAAGCTGAAGCCGTAAAAGTCAAAATCATGAAAAAAATATGTTTCTGAATAATAAAGTTTAAAATAAAATATTAAAAAGGCGTAAATTTACATTCGTTTTGAATATTCATTTCATTTTTTTCTGTAAAAATATTGTTTGAGAAAATATAGTTTCTGTAAAAAAATATTGTTCTGTATAAATATTGTTTGTTCACAGTTTGAGAACCGGTGTTTTAAAGTTTAATAATGATTTATCGGCAGAGATAATCGGTAGGAAATCACAGTTAAAACAGCGAAAAATTTTATAACATATTACACGAAAATGCATTTAGAATAAAATGGGAATTTCTGTATACTAGAAAAGTCAGGGCCCACCAGCGGCCGAGCGGTAAAGTCGCTGAATACTGGTAGTTCGGTCCGAGGTTCGAATCCCGCGAACGGGCTGACTGCATGGGCGTTTTCGTGGTTTTCCCCATGTGTAACGTGTATACGAGCCAGTTTCCCTTAGAAAGTCCTCCACGAAGGCATCCCTCCTCTTAGGCAGATAGCCCTCGAGGCTTTGCCATACTCACACACACACACACTAGAAAAGTCAAAAAAATATATAACACCATTCCGTTAAAGTATTGAATGTTTTTAATCAGATACGTCACGAATTAAATGAATTTTTATTTAAGTGAATCAGACTCGAAAGTAAAAAAAAAAAAAAAAATATTCTTAAGAACTGCATCTACTGCTTTTTAATAGTTTAGTTTGATAATTAATAACCATTCGATTTAAATATGAAAGAAATAATATCTTACGTTTTTTCCAATGGCAACATATTCAAAGGTAAAACAATGCTAAATCTTACTTCGAGAGTAATAGCTCTTTCAGGCTTAAAAAAGATTTTGGGTATGAGGAAAGAAGATAAAAATGTACATAACATTAATTTAAAAAAATCTTAAAGCTTTCAGATTTTATATTACACCCAAAACGCCGTTTTTTGTAAGTTACATTTATTATTAAATATCCTGTTCTTCGCACTTAAAACATAAAATTCAATTCAACGGCAATATCCCAAAATATTTAAAAGAGCATATCATTAGAATTTCCGATACACAGTCTCGCGCGCTGGAGATTTTTTTTTTTTTTTTCGTATAGTGCTGCCATTGCTCGCTTTGGAATCCTTGAGTTTCTTAATAAAAAACTAATAAATGCTTTACAAAATATGAAAAGGATAATAAAACAAATTACAAATTTGAGTTTACAGAGGCCCATACTCGGTGGAGACGTACATTCTTCAAAATTCGATGGTTCTAGGTACCGTTGTATACAATGCCAGAAACATACATACATTCATGCAAATTCTGCATTATTTAATTTCTTTAAATATAATATAGAGCTCTAATATTTGATGGCAACAATTTGAAAATTGAGCCGACATTACATGCACATGCACGTTTCGATAGCATTTGAGCTGTTCCTCTAGGCTAAAATTATTTAAATATCTTTAGAAGACCTATCTTTAGAAGTTCCAATAGACATAAATATGTTTTTTCCTGTACAATGTTGCCATTGTTAGCTTTGAAATTGATGAGTTTGTTAATCAAAACGTCATTAAAGTTTTATAAAATGTGAAGTAAATAATAAAACAAAATCGAAATTCAAAATTCGGGCTTCCGTGTGCCCATGTTCAAATAGAGGATTACGTTATTCAAAATTTGATCGCTGTAGGTACCGTCGTTTTTTCACAATGCGAAAAACATGCATACCTTGACGGAAATTTTTAATTTCTTAATTTTTTTAATATAATACAAGGCTCTGATATTTGGTGGCAACAATTTAAAAAGTGATTCGCCTTTTATAGTGAATCAACGCAAAATGCCAAAACGAAATTAATAGCTGTGTGGGGGTAAAGCCCTTTGGGCTAATAAAGTGAAGCCCCCCCCCCAAAAAAAAGTGTCAAACATACTTTTTCAGTAATATAAGCTTGTATTTTCATCTGCGTCATCTAAAACTTTAGCATATTTTGTATTAACACAAATGCGCAATAAAATATATATATACTGCTTTATCTCGCCTAGATAAATATTGTGAAGTAAACTTAGACTTTTGACTCGCAGTTCAAAAAATTTTGCAAAGGCATAAATGAAAATAGGCAATCAAAGGCATAAATTAAAAAAGGCAATCAAAGGCATAAATTAAAATAGGCAATCAAAGGCATAAATGAAAATAGGCATCTTGTAAATGAAAATAGGCAATAATAAAAATGATTAAAAGTTACTGACCGCTAAAAATTCCAACATTCAGTTGTTCGCTGTCCAAATCTTCCACAAAACGTCCCAGGTATTTATTCAGTGCGTATGCTACAACGCCTTCGAACATGATGTTCCTTTTGTTGATGCACTTGATTTTGTTGATGAGTTTATGAACTTATTCAACAAACCTGAAAAATGAAGTCAAAGATTAATAGTTTAAACGTGAGTCAGTCATGCAATGTATACTTACGAGCACATGTTTTAAATATCAGTGAAAGAATGGAATTACTCAGCATTTTTGTATTTGAATTTTATTTGATATACACTCCTGATACTTGGTGTTTCAAATCCTGACATAATTTTATTTCTAATCTCCGCTTAGTGGTTTATCTTTCACTGTTATTTTTATCAACGCGCTTATCTCTCGGATTTATCATTAAGGGTATTTTTCCGTCTGTCTATGCTTTTTCCAACATTAGTAACCCTACTTTTACAACAGGCAAGATAATAAAATACAGCTATTTAACCTTCAGAGGGCGTTTGCGGTTTTTTAAAACGATTAAAAAAATCTGAAAGGTTTTAGATTTTAAATTACGTCCAAAGCGGCGTTTTGTGTGTTACCTATTATGTTATTTATTAAATATTATGTTCTACGTACTCAAACTATAAAATTCAGTTCAACAGCAATACCGCAATTAATTTTTAAATGAGCCTATCTTTAGATTTCCGATACACAGTCTTGCGTGCTGGAGATAATTTTTTTTTATTTTATTTTATTTTTTTTTTCCTGTACAGTTTTGCCGTTGATCACTTCGAAATCATTTAGTTTTTTTAATCCAAAATTCGTTGAAGTGTTACAAAATATGAAATCGATAATAAAACAAATTTCAAATTCAAATTAGGGCTGCTACATTCCCATATTCTATGGAAGATGACGTTATTCAAATTTGGATGGCTTTAAGTACCGTTGTTTTATCACAGTGCGAGAAACACACATACATTTATGCAGATTCTTCATTACTTAATTTCTTTAAATATAAGACGATAATATATTGTGGCAACGATTTGAAAAGTGATACAGCCTTTTAAAGTTTTTTACGCACTTAGTTATTCTGCATGCAATATTTGCAGAATTGTCAACAATTTAAAAGTTGTTTCAGTGCGAATAATCCTAATTGTTGTTTATTATAGTAGCCATATTTGTTTACATTTGAAATTTAGCAGAATCGTGAATTCAGTTTCTGCAGTTTCAGTGCCTTTTTGCCGAGTGGGACCAAAATTAAACTTTCATTTTTTTTGCACTAAAGAGTCTGCCTTGTTACCTGCTGGCCGAATGGCTTGTTTTTGCATAGAAACTCTAATAACTGTAAATTTTGTTTTTAACTTTATTTGTTGTTTTATGTTTTCTTATATCTTTAAAATTTTAATGGAGATATTTTGAGCTTTTATGTATTTTTGCCTTGCCGCGAACTCAGAATAGAATTAATTGAATAAGCAGTATATCTCTAATGAAATTCGAGGAAATAAGTTTAAACGAAATGGAGCAAAAAATGCGTGTAATTTAATATTCCGTACAAGGAAGTCATGTGGTGTACACATCAGATATTTCCCTCTTAACGAAACAGTCGAAATTTGTATTTTCTTCTCCAAAGAAAAGTTTTTCCTTACTTTCGGGCGTAGGTTCGGACACCGAAATATAATTTCGCCAAAATTATTCCTAAAAGGGACAAAGCTAATTATTAACATTCACATTTTTTTTTTTTTTTTTTTTTTTTTTTTTTTTTTTTTTAAGTTACCAAAAGAATACTTGTAGTGCAAGACACATACTAAGACGTTATAGATTGAAAACACAGAAATTATTAAATCACAGAAATTAACTTCAAATTACTATTAACTTAACCTTGTGGATACCTAGTTACTTGAATTTTTTTTTTACATTTGCAGCATATTCAACCCTTGGTTATAATTGACGTATGAGTGAGTACGTCATGCATTTGTTTTCGCAAAGATTCCCATCACGTTCTGATACGTCACTAAAACTGAGACGAGATTTAACCAGTTCCTTCTGGTTTATTTCAAAGTAATGTGTATTTGCTGCAAGAGAACAAATAATTTCAGTAGTTTAAAGTGAACCTTGTTTGGGATACACAACTCCATAATAACAGAAATAGACAATATATTTTATCAAAGTGCTTTAAGAATTCAACGGGTATAAAGGAAGTTAAGAAATTTCTTTCCTAAAAAAATCATGCAAAACTTTTTATATAATTAAAATTATTATATATTACTTAAACATAATATAAAAAATTACAATGAAATAATCAACATTACTTAACACAAATATTAATTACTCTAACAAATAAATTAACCAACTTTGCGTTGCAAAATCTTAAAAATTCAAATGGTATAAAGGAACTCAGCGCGTTCGTTCGCTAATAACACAGTCACTACTACAGCCATCGTCACTAAACTTTCTACAATTCTTTTCTGCATCCTGGAAAAGAACAACGTCCCCTTTCCCCCCAAAAAAACTAGCCTTTTTCTTTCATTTATTAAATTTTAATAAAATAATAAAAGAATATAGAAAACATTGATAAATACCAAAACTTGAATAAAAGAAAATCTGGAAGGTTTCAGATTTTGCATTACGTCTAAACGGCCGTTTTTTTTAACATTTTGTCTGTTACCTTTATTTATTAAATATCACGTTCTTCGCACTTAAACCAAAAAACTCAGTTCAACAGCAATATCACAAAATAATTTTAAATTGGTCTTATCTTTAGAATTTCCGATGCACAGTCTCGCGCGCAGATAAAAATGTTTTTTCTGTACAACGTTGCCATTGCTCTCTTAGAAATATTTGAGTTTGCTAATCAAAAATTCGTTGAAATTTTACTAAATATGAAATCGACAATGAAACAAATTCCAATTTTCAAAATTCAAAAAATTCAAAAAAAAAAAAAAAGATTCAGATGCCCATATTCGCAGTAGGATTACGTCATTCAAAACTGGATGGCTCTATGTACCGTCGTTTTATCACAATGCGAGAAACATACATACATTGATGCAGATTCTTCATTATTTAATTTCTTCAAATATAATACAGGGCGATAACATTGGGTGGTAACAGTTTGAAAAGTGAAACGGATATTCAGATTGATTCGACGCAAAATCACAAAACGAAAACTAATTCCTTTGGACTAAAAAATAGCTAAAATCAGAGATATTAATTAGAAACTCATAAAACGCTAATTTTCGCCTCATTTTTCTGAGTGGCAACAGTGCAGAGTCTATTAGCTTACGCGCAACACAAACGAAAAACACACACACAGACGCTTCCTTTTATTATATCTACTAGAGATTTATTATATGCCGATGTTTTCTAGGTCATTTTTTTCTCGCTCGCTTAATGTTATCGTTTGGCTAATACTTCTAAAATAGTCGTGGATAAACGCGATGAAATTAAGTGGTGCTTAATGTATACCTAGTTTAAGATGAAACTTGAAAAAATAGAACAGATAAATTTCTGAGGTCAAAAGTTACATCCTTGACATACTCTTCGATTACCATGGCCTCAACTTTCAACATCTCATTCACAAGATAGAAATATTGCTAGTCGTTAATGCCACAGCCTCTTTGAACCCTCACTGTAAATTCCACATGGAAGTTTTTTTGGCTTAAAGGAAAACAACTACAAGTAGAATTTCAAATGACCAGTTATAACTGTACTTCCAGCCCCCATGCTGGCTTTGTCATTTGACCCCATCTACCAAGTTCAAGGATTCCAAAATAGTTGGTGTCACTCTGCCTATTCAGGCAAGTTTTGCCGAACCGGTTGTTGATTGTCGAAACACTGCCTATAATTATAACTGTAAACATGTCTCCGTTCTGTAATAAATGCTCTATAATGAAATAATCAACAATAATTACAATAATTGCCACATAAACGCTGTTAGTATCACTTCTGATTCTCTGATATCTAAAATAATAATCTATGAACGCTAGAGATTAAATAACCCAAAAACCAATTTTAAAAAAAATCTGAAAGCTTCGAGATTTTACATTACACCAAAAGGTGCGTTTTTTTAACTCTTTCTGTGTTACCTTTATTTATTAAATATCATGTTCTTCTCCCTTAAACCATAAAATTCAATTTGTAGAGCCATTTTTTTTGGAAGCAAACAAGATGAAAAAAGAGCAACGCTTTCCCCGGGATTCGAACCACGGATCCCTGGAATTTGCGGCCAGCGTGCAGACCATCACACCGCGAAGGCATGCTAAGACGGCGGAAGAAACGCCTTATAAATTCAACGGCAATATCGCAAAATAATTTTAAATCGACATATCTTTACAATTTCCAGTAATAGTCTTTCGCGCTGGAAATAAAAATGTTGTTTTAATCCAAAGTGGCAATTTGCCCTAAAGGACTATTGCTTTCGTTTTGCGATTTTGCGATGAATAAAAGGCTGTATCACTTTTCAAGTCGTTGCCACCAAATATTATCGCCCTGTATTATATCTGAAGAAATTAAGTAGTGAATAATCTGCATAAATGTATGCATATTTCTCGCATTGTGATAAAACGACGATACCTACAACCATCGAATTTTGAATAACGTAATCTTCCACCGAATATGGGTATCTGCAAGCCCAAATTTGGAATTTGTTTTATTATCGATTTCATATTTTGTAAAACTGACGAATTTTTCATTAACAAACTCAAGGATTATTTTAGAGCGAACAGTGGCAACGTTGCACAGAAAAAAACATTTTTATCTCCAGCGCGCGAGACTGCGTATCGGAAATTCTAAAGATAGCCCGAATTTAAAATTATTTTGCGGTATTGCTCTTGAAATGAATTTTATGGTTTAAGTGCAAAGATCATGATATTTAATAAATAATGGTAATACACAAAATGTTAAAAAAACGCCCCTTTGAACGCAATTTAATTTAATTTATTTATTTATTCCCTTACTGTGTTGTCATTGCTCGCTGAGTTGAAAATCGTTGAGTTTCATAATCTAAAATTCTTTAATGTCTGACAAAATATGAAATAGATAATAAAACAAATTCCAAATTCAAGCTTCCAGATGCCCATATTCGAAAGCGGATTACGTCATTCAAAATTGGATGGCTCTAGGTTCAGTTGTTTTATCACAATGCGAGAAATATGCATACATTTGTGCAGA